GGGGGGGGGGGGGGGGGGGGGGGGGGGGGGGGGGGGGGGGGGGGGGGGGGGGGGTGACATCGAGATCTTTTTCTGCTTGTGCTTGCTGTTTCTTTGGTGGTAGAATAGTTCGGCTACAGCAGATAGGCTGCATTTTACGGACACATGCTTTCGTGAATGGATATCTCAATAGATGACCTCCTGGAGGAAGTGGAAGGGGCCCTTAAAGAAGGTTCTTGTCCTCGGAGATCATCAAAGTGAGAACATGTTGCCACGTTCAACGAGGAGGGAGGTTCGACACGTTTAAAAACTTCTTTTCGTATGTGTGTAGACTACCGTGTGCGCAGCAGTGCGCACATTTGCCTGCCGCCGCAGCCGTAACCCATCGTGTCATGCTACCAGGACGCATCTCGAAGCGTCGCAGTAGAATCGATGTCTTGCTCAGGCTCCCGATACGTAAACACTGCTGTCTGTGGAGGTCAGGATTATGGAGTTTCAGGGAGCACAGATATACGTACATAATAATAAGGAGTAGGATCTGAGGGAATATAGTATGTGATAGACTAATAGATTACCGTTCTCCGAGGGTCCACAACTCTTGTGATTCCCAACGGCTGCGAAGAGTTGATGGATCTTTAAGAGAATGGAATAATGGGTCCACGAAGGCTCGCCCACTCTCCGCACCACCCTAGCTTGACTGAGGTCGCTCGGTCACGCTTGGCCTTCCTCGCCACATTGTACCAAAGGAAATAGCCAACCTCCGGTGGCAGGACNAGAGAATGGAATAATGGGTCCACGAAGGCTCGCCCACTCTCCGCACCACCCTAGCTTGACTGAGGTCGCTCGGTCACGCTTGGCCTTCCTCGCCACATTGTACCAAAGGAAATAGCCAACCTCCGGTGGCAGGACATAGCCACCATAACCCCGGACTCTCCGCTCACCCAGAGTAGAGGGCTCCATATTGGCGTTCGACGAAGCGTTCTATCTTTGTAACCTACGTGTGAAACATGGGCTCCAATCCAAGGAAGCTAGGGAAGAAAAAGGACGGAGGGTCGCAACAACAGCAACAGCAGAAAATGCAAAAGCAGCTGACGCCCAAACCGCCAGCAACACCGCGTCCCGACGCTGCTGCCAGTACTAATCATGGCTCGGCTAAGCCCTAAGAGGGACAGCCGAAGCCTGCCCAAGCTGGGGAATCCACCGGTGCGGCTGCGAGCGTAGCACCCTCGCAGAGCAGTCACCATCGCGGGCTGTCTGGTGTTTCTGTCATTCCCTCGCGTATCGCTTGAATGGGCCGTACAACGCCGCACATACATGACATCGTGCACTTGCTGCTGGCTTGTGTATAGCCAGAATGCGATACACCCAACGCACACGAACATACCTACAGTACGTTGCTTGCGTTGAAGAACTTTCCGAACGTTTCTGTTCTGTGTCGTTCCGTCGCGTGATGCAAGATATTCGCTCACCACACTTTACCTCCCGAATGGATCTGGATCGACAACGGTATGAGTACAGTAGATCATTGCAGCAACTAGTCTGATAGACTACATGAAGCCTTGTGTAGCTGTTGAGAATCTGTCGGGCGAATGTGTTTCGCTAACTGCAGACTGTGTAAATACGTGTGTTAGATAATGAAGTTTTCACGTGTGTGTGCAGCCCGGTCCTTGTTAATACGCCGACTCTGGGCCATACAGAACGAGTTTTGTTCTTCTCGTGCCGTGAAAACAAACATGACATGATAGTACATGCCGTCTGTGAAAGAGATGACAGGCATCAAGCGCCGTGTGCCGCAACCGAGTGCTGTCCTCCTCTTCTCTGCGAAGACCCTCCAGAGGCGTTGGGCTCAAGCCAACACGCACCCGCTACGGTGAGTTATCTGCCTCAAGCGGACAACACTTCCATCTTGACGATATCTGGTCTAGACTACAGCAGAGCAGTTTGTTGCGGCTAGAGTTGACTGATGTTGAACGGTGATATCCCTCTACAGTAACACGCTTCCACACTTGCCAAAGACGATAGGTATGACGCTACGTGGAGCACGCATGCACCCCCGTCACCCCACTATTTCTCCACTACTTTGCTAAGAAGGTGTTGGTGCCGAAACAACCTTTCCCCCCCCCCGTTGTTTCTTTGCGAGATATCGCTTTTGAGACTACGAAGTATACACAACTACGCCGTCCATTACCCTATATCCTTGCCGGATTTCTCTCTTCGTGTCCTTCGGCAACAGGCTCAACAACATTCGGAGCAAGGGATCACAGCAACAGCTGCGCCGGCGATGACACCCCCGCAGCCTCTGACTGCAGGCCAAACGAGCTTCTCCGTCATGGACATCGACGACCTCGATTCAGGACTTTCTCCGGTACAAGAACCGGTCCCCGGTGCTGCTGCTGCCACTCCTGCTGTTGCTGCTGCTCCTGCTGCTCCTGCTGCTGCTGCTGTAGATCGCGACGTCGATCCAACATCTCCTGGTACTCTCGGTACGCGTGATTCAGTTCCTCGTCCACTTCCCTCGGCAGTCCCTGACCTTTCAGCCGGCGTCGACTTCGATTCGGATTCTTCTCCGGTGGGTACGACTCCGGGTTTTTTCGCTGCTGATGATACAGCTGGAGACGACTGCGATCTAGGCCTCCCAGCGGTGACGACCGCTCCTGCCGCGGTCGGCGACGGTTTTGATTCAGATTCTTCGCAAGCGCAGGCGGCCGTCGCTAGCGTCGTTGGTATGGACTTTGACGAAGACTCCCAAGACGGGGCCGATGACTCCCTAGGTTTGGTCCTCTCAGCTGCTCCCGAACAAGTCAAAGAGAGAACCAGCGGCATCAACAGCGGCCTGACAACAACCTACAGCAACGGCAACGACGACCGTTGCGTGAAAGATGAAGTTTCCCCAGAGTGGCCGCAACGACATCATGCAGAAGCGGAACGACGCCCGGCAAGCGCCGAGAAAGCGTCAGAACAACCCGCTGCCACCATCATGGTCACGCCCTCCGCGATGCCTGGAGAGGGACGTGGCGGTGGGGGGACGACGGCGGCGGTGGCGGCGGTGGCGGCGCCCCCAACGAAGAAGAGGCGGAGGTGTGGGACGGTGTTCGTGGGAGGGGTGGCCACGGACCGAGGATTTTGCGCCTCGTCGTTGTCGCAGCGGTAGGAACAAACACACCGAGCGTTGTGAATGGGGTTGTGACAAAGTAGCTCCAGATGAAACGCACAGTGGCACATACTCGGGAACGTACCCCTCTCCCCATAAACCCAGGCCGGCTATGGGGTCTACGACGTTGCGTGCCCGTCAAAAAAAATCAAACAAACACATCCAACGATAGGGACAGCGATATATGTAGGTGAACGTGTGTCGACGATCTGGGTATTCCGGTCGAAACGTTTTCGTCGCGCACACCGTACTTTCCCTGACAACGGCAGTGCGGCCCACATAAACAACATGATCACCATATTTGTATGATGGCACACATTCAGTGCGTAAGGGCCAACTGGCCAATCCGCTCACCCCTTGCCTGTTTGCTATTCACACATCTCGCTCTGCTTTTTATACATACACACGGACGCGTACCGTCCGTCTTGCATGTATGTGTACACAGGGCTTGCGACAAACTTCGATGCACAGACTGCAACTTCGAGGTCCTGTGCTTCCACGGGCGAGCGTGGGATGACCAGACGGACTACATGTTCCTAAGGAACAACGTTCCCGACACGGAGAAGCTGAGCGCGAGGCTGACGCCCTGCTCAGGTGCCCACCTTCTTTTAGCTCCTCTTCTGTGAGGAATACTCAATCAACCGCTAGATATAAATCAACTGCCGCGAGGGAGCTGCTCTCCAGGGGGCCAAAGATTCATTTCACCTCCAACCTCTCGATATATATGGGGAGGGTGTCGTTTTGGTTTCGTAGAGAGGAGGGTATGTTGGGGGAAGGGGGCAAGCGGTCGGGGGTAACGCACGACGAACGGTTGAACTATTGAAGTACGGGGAGTGTCAAGCCTACAAAGGGGAACTTGGTTTCAAGCACCAAGCAACGCCAAAGGCCACAACCAACAGTATCCCACTCGCAGGACGACAAGTCTTCAATTGCCAAACTGTTATCTGCCTGGCCCGATGGGTGCAGCAGTCCCGAGCAAGGTAGCCCCTCTTTCCCCAACCCGCCCCCCCTTCCTCCGACACACCGCCGCCTCTTATCGTTGTCCCTCAGATTCGTGTGCATATGCGTGTCAGTGCTCCTGGCAAAACGTGAAAGACGTTCGTGCTCAATCTCCGACTCAGCGTCCACGATGGGCCTGCGGCGGACATTAGTCTAGACTACTAACTACTCGAACGAGACAGCAGTTCGTGACCTCCCGCTCCTTGTTTGTGTTTTGCTTTTAGGTCGGCAACGACAGCCACGATTTTTAGTTGACGTTTTGTCAAAGAAGTCAACGGTCGACAGCCTTCACGGCGGAAAGCATACATGTTTGTGCGTGTTGGGGGGTGGATTTTGATGCTAATCATGGCATTGTATATATGTTCGACTGCGAGTTGTTTGTTACTCCTGAACAGACAACAGGACGCTCTTCACCAGATCCCAAAACTGTTTGAAAGCACCGATGGAAGGATGTGATTCATGGGCAATGGCGTGCACTTGGCTTTTGTTTTCTTGTCATGGGGACATCTTGCACCGGTCTTCCCTCCCGCAAAACGGCAATAGGTAATTTGATGTGGTAGGGACGGATATCAGAGAGCGAAGCGTTGTCGGCGTCGATGGCATGTCGTCGTTGCTAGTCCATCGGCGTGGTAGCGCAGCAACTCCCAAACCAATAATGTTTGCAGAAGAGCACGACAATTTGCATTTCATCGGGAGGAACACCGATCAGAGCGCTTGTTTTCACGTCTGTCCTACCCGTGACAACCCAATGAATCCACGAATGCAACAAACGTAACATTCGCCTCAAAGGATACAGGTCACAGAGAGTATGGTCTTGCCCGACAAGCGCCCCTACAAACACGAGACACGAGACGAACCTCCTTTTTCCTCCCGCCTGTCGACCTTTGTTGCATCCCCATGCCCTCCCTCTCCCACCCAACATCCGGCACCACGAAGAGCGGGCAACAGTTCCGGGACACGCGCTCCTCTCGCTGCACGACTAACGGGGACACAATCTCTGGCGGCTGTGCTACGCCTGGCGGGTTGTCAACCAACATCGAGAGAAAATCCATAAAAGGCCTATGATGGAGGAAGGGGGGCGGTTCAAGCACCGCCTCACGTTGTTGTCATCGTTTTCGCGAAACAAGCAGAACTCTCCCACACACCTCCCTCCCCCTTGCGCGTTCATTTTCGAGGCTTAAATGTTCCTTCTTGTGTCTTATTGCATTCGGCCATGTCGGCGAAAAACCCGTTATCGGTGCACACACGACACGCACACGTGACACGCGAAAAGACGGCCCGCAAAGCTACTGTTTGCATTTCGTAAAAAAGAACACAGGAATTCTCCATGAGCCTAGAGTACATTGTACTTTTTTTTATCACAATTCGTCATGAAAATGTAAAGCTCTCCCGCCACTTCTCTGTCTCTGGCTCCCTCCATCAAACACCACAGAGCAACACACAAGACTCAACACCATGCACCACCCAACATGCAGACCAAAAATCAGAACTTCTCCATGGGCAAAAACACCTCGGCATCCTGCGTTCCGATCTCCGTCACCTCTAGCCGGCGTAGACTGCCGTCGAGGACATCGAACACCCTGTCCGCCTGATACCGCCTGCTCCCAGCGGTCCAATCTACGGAGAATACGCCCCCTTGCCCCTCCTCCACCTGCAGGGGGAACCTGCCGAACCGAGCCAAATCGTGCGACATCACGTAGAACACCGAGAAACGTTGCCAGGGCACTTGTACTCGAAGAAAAAACAATTAGTGTTAGCGCTCCAGACGCTTCTTCTGAATGACTGTGCGTCCATGTGGGACACTTTCGATGGCAAGCGGAGCGACAGAAACGGTTCGGTTCCGGCATCGTGTCATGCGTGTGTATGCCGTCGTCTACTGCATTTATGGGAGAGTGTCCACATGGACGGCCTATCATCCCCCGGCTATGGGAACGCGACGACAAGGGGCAACCGCCCCTGTTTCCCCTGCCTTTTCGCACCTCGCAAGGGTTTGGGGAGCCGTTTCTGCCAGCAGAACACCTCCCCATTATTGAAAACGCAGGCTTTCATTTCGCTAGACATTCAAACATCGTTTGCCACGTCACAACTTTCGGGTGGAGACTATATCAGCCTTGAGGTACTGTTGTATCATGTCATTCTTCCGGCCGTCCAATTCCAAAGAGATCAACCAACCAACCCCCCGACCCCTGATCGCCCGCTGCCTCTTGACGAGGGGAAACCTGGGTGACTGCAAGAACAAACATCCGCGAGAAAAAAGCACCGTCGGAAGGAAGTACATCGCTCCCCTCGCGGTTGCCATTACAGGTGCATGTTGACGGTAATGTCAACGCGGCGGCACACGGCAGCTGTATCGTATCCAGAGTCCCCCCCCCCCCCCCCCCCCCCCCCCCCCCCCCCCCCCCCCCCCCCCCCCCCCCCCCCCC